TTTGATGATACTGATTTAGGTTCAGAGTTCATTGATAGTTAAATAATGTGATTTCAATTATTCTAAAGTAGCAGGGCAGAACACAAGAATGATGACCCCTTTTGAATAAAGTCCACCATTTGCTTAATTTGTTGCATATAGACTGTTGGTTTAATTTGCTCTTGTTTGAGAACAAGTAGCCAAACTTTAAACATGTGGGAGTTTTAGTAGCAAAATAATTACAAGATTAGTCTTCTGTTACTATCCAAAATAATTTTTCTGTCTCCTTATTGTCGAAGTAAGGTGAGCAATTATGTTGTTTCAAAATTATGTTTTCTTTGCCGTCCCACGTTTTTTCATCTCTGTTCCCAGTCTTAAACTCTTAAAACCCCATAACACAAAGTTAGATTCACTCTAATTCACTCTTACTTTCTCACTACTTCCATATGGTAACCAGGGACATCATTTTTCCTTCACTGTTTCGCCTCTTTCTGTTGGATTGTCTGAAAAGTTATGGTATGTTTTCTTACCTTTTTCTATGCAAAAATGCATCATGACCTTTCTGATAACCCAACACATTTGAAAATAGATCCAATTGTTAAAAAAAAAAAAAGATCAGATGACTACAGATTATTAAATTGTCCAGTTTATAGCTTGAATTATTTCATGGTCATTAAGTCATTTACACTTTCATCTCCAATTCACAGGTGTGCTCTTTTGTCTGTGCTAAACATGTACCTGTTCTGTTGCAGGCACTGCGCTAGGGGATGCCGGTCTTATTTCTCCCACAGCCCAGGTGGCCAGCGCCTCTCACATTACCAGGTGTTATTCTGGTCTGCTTATCAGAGTCATGTTACACACAATTTTCAGCTTCCTTTTCCTACTTAGGAAAGAATATCTGAACTTAGGGAAATGAAAGAGATGGTATTTAATTTTGGAGCCATTCTAATGTATAAAAATAATGAGTTGTTCCCATAGTTCAGAATTTGTGACAACCCTCCTAATTAACTGATCTGGATGTTTTGGGGTGCCAGGATACTTCCAGAGTATATAAAGATAGTTGTCTTGAACTGTCAAATAAAAGGCCAAACTGTGAAAGTAGAATAGACCCAATGTAATTCAAAGGAAAATGTTGTGTCATTAGCAATACAAAGTTTTTCTAGTGTATTTCTGAGTAAGGAGAGATTAACTTCTCAAGTATCAGAAAAGACACTTGAGTTTAGTGTGAATTCAGAGTGCCATGTGGTCTATACAGAAAGAATTAGAAGGGATGAGTGTAACTATTTTAAACTCAAAAGCCACATTAATTTCATCCTTAATATTTCATTTTCTCTTTGAATATTGAAATTATACCTATTTTCACAGAGGCATACAGTCACACACACTCACACACAATTAAGTAGCACAATTTGGTTCAGAATTCTTGGGGCAGAAGATATATTTTTCCCTAGGCACTAGCAGTCACTTTATCCTCTAGTTGATAAATGCTGCCTGACAAATACTTTCCCATTTATTTCTTTTACTTTTTAAAAATATGTTATCTCATAAAATATTGGGCCCTCAATACGAATTTAATTACTCTTCAAGCAGGTCTTCCTGAAGTGATTAATAAGCCACAAAAATAACTATTTCCTCTTCTCTGTGTTGGTATTTTTGGAAATTAGGTTGCCTGTGCCAAGCTTCATTTGTAGATAAAATGGAAATTGTTAAATGGGCTAACAATTCACAAGAAATCTTTGTTCCTGTATTAAGAGCACTCCAGATACCTAATTCCATTTAGAGTTTTCAATAACTTCTTGTACTCTAGGCAGCCATATGAGTCATGTAATTGGTTCAGATATTCAGCAGAAATTTTTTATGAAGAAAGCCACAGGAAAATATTTTTCTTTGCTCCTCTTTTTTTTTTTTTTGACAGGGTGAGCTGAATATAGCTTTTTAATAAATTAATGAGGGTTTTTTTAATCAAAATGAAGATTTAAAAAATAGTTTTATTTAACTAAATTTTTATTGTAGCACAATACCACTAGTGGACTGATTGAGTAAATTATGATGTATTCATATATTGGAATATTACATGGTAATTAAAAATGATAATGATCAAGGTGTGTTGACTTGGGCAAGAAAGCATGATAGATGCAACTTAGAAGTTTGAAAGGACTATGTTTATTGCATGTGCATATAACTAAAGTGTGGAATGACGTATTCCTTAAAGACATTTATATTGGTCAAAGGCAAGGCAAATAATTACAGGGAGGATTTTTGTTTGCTTTTTAATTTATTTTTTGCCAGAGTGCATATGTGCTATACATTGGAGACAGAAGGAGAAGAGACAAAGAAAGCAGTTGCCCAGTGGGACCTGGTCACACTACAGTCTTTTTCACTCCGTTTCTCCATTCCATCAGGTTCCCCAGTAGGAGTGTATATGCACCTGGCATATTTTACAAGCCTGGGGGTCAGGAGGAGGGATTCAAACCTCAGTAGGCCATGTGGCTTCTGGCTTCCTCTGTACAATGTCTATATGCTATGCTACAGGGCTGGTCTGTGGGTGATGATTATTCAGAGAACAGAATCCAGAAATATTCAAATGGTAATTTAGTGTAGGGTAAAAGTGGTATTCCAAAAAACTGGCAGAAAGCTGGATTGTTTAATAAATTATGTTGCCACAGCTGGCTAGCTATAGGAAAAAAGAACTAAACTAGAACTGTACTTCATTCCTTTCATTAAAAGAAATTTCAGATCAATCAAATCTTAAAATATTTAAGGTGAAGCCTAGAAAGTTCTAGGAGAAAACATTAGTAAATAGTTTTTGTTTTTGAAGTGAGAAAGACCTAACATGACCCCATATCCAGAAACGATTCAGGAAGATGGATACATCTGCCTATGTTAGATTGTTTCAGAGGCTTGAGAACTGAATGAATCTTGATGCTACCTGTTCATGAATGCCACTTCATTTTTTTTTTTTTTTCTGGAGAGGTTTTTGCTATAGGGCGCATGCGCTGGCGAGACAGAGAGACAGAAAGTGAGAAATCACCCCCCAGGGAGGATGGCCACGCCACAATCCTTTCTCCTCTGTTCTCCTCTCAGGATCTTGAGCATGCACGCACACACGCCCGGCGTGAATTTTAAGCCACTGGGTCTGGGATGTGAACCGTAGTCGACTAAATGGGAGTCCAGTGACATAGCCATTACGCTAACTGCTTGTCCCGCCACTTCCAGTTTTAATATGGTGTTAAAAATGTAATGGTATATGGGCCAGTCCATATTGTGGTGGTTAAGATGGTTTAGATTACAGCATGGTTCGAGTCCTGGACCAGCAGCTTTAAAAACAAGCCAGGCACTTGTGCAAGCATGCTCACACTCTCAAAAGGAGTGAGAAAAGGGATTGCAGTATGATCATTCTCCAGGGGGGTGTGCATTCTCTATCTATCTCTGTCTCTTTCTGTCTCTCTCTGGGAAGCACCTGTGCCCTCTGACAAGTTTAAAAAAACAAAAAAGTTAATGGTAATATTTTGCAGGCACTGGACCAATGCAGACATACACCAAGCAAAAGGCCGCTAGCCAATTATTTTAGGAATTGCTTTTATATCCGTAATTGTTAGCATTCATGAGCAGTTTAAATTAATGACATTTAAATATATTATTTGAAATTTTTCATGACTATGTGTAAGAAGTAATTTGTACAGTAACATTACTTGAAATGAATGAAGAATGATGGGGACCAGCAGGTGGTGTGGTGGTTAAAGTGCTGGACACTCCCACATGGCCGACCACAGTTCGAGTCCCGGACCTGATGGCTTACTTTCTTCTCTCTATCTATCCCCCTCTCTCTGATCAAATTAAAATAAATGAATGAATAAATAAAATTAAATAAAAATAATTTAAGAAAAGAGAAATGAATGAAGAATGAAAAATAACAGATCAGAATGAAAGTTATGAGAAAATGTGTAAGAAACTGCTGTGTAGTTAACCTGTGGATTGTGGAGCTGGGCCTGATAGAATGGGCAAACGTCATCCTATGCTGTCACCTGTATAATGTGAAAACGTGTTGGCTTAATCATTGGGAATGTTTCCTTAAGTCATTGAAAAATAGTTTAAGGTTTGGGGCACCTAAAATTTTTTCTTTCATATTTATAACTTGACTATTTCTGTGCTATTTAAGCCAGTCACCCATTTAAGAAAACAAAACACAGAAGCCCAAAACCCTGGATCAAAACTTTTTTTTTTTTTTTTTCACCACGTTGCTGTGTGTGTGTGGTAGTGGAGAGACTAGAAGGTGTTTTTACTTTGTTTTGTCACATGGGCTCAGAAGGTTGTTATCCTGCTAAGTGAACACAGCTACAGTGTGCTCATGTGCTGCATCTTTGGAAGCAGTTTCTGGAAAATGTGTGTCATCTTATGAAACGATCTTATTTCAGATTCACAGCATTTTATTCGTTTATGTTACTCATATTACAATATCACAGGCACAGATTTATCATTGCATAGAATGTAAGATTCCTGTAAGTTGTTAGTGTGAAATAAAAGCCATTGAAGTAAGGGCCTGGAGGACCGTCTCTGGAGGACTGTCCCTGGAGGACCTCTGTTCCCTTGGGAGGCATCTTCCCTGTTCTTTGAGGGGGGGGGAACTGAGAAATATTATCCTGAGTAAATATGAACAAGGAAGGTAGCTGATAATCATACTCAAGCTTATTTGGGTTTTAAGTTCTGAAGTTACATAGTGGAAGGAAGTAGATTTCATAAAAGGCAAATTATATTAGCTCAATTTAACTCAGTAAAATGAATGTTTGATTATCTACTTAGGATTCTCACTGAATCCAGCAAATGCCTGAGCTGGTAGATAGTTTAGTCATTAAAACTATAATCCAATTAAAGCAAAGGGAACTAAATAAACTAATTTTAATCAAATTTACTTTGATTTCTCTTGGTGTCTCTCCGAGAGAAATTGGGTTGACTGTGCCAAGTTTTATTTGTAGATAAAATGGAAATTGTTCAATTTCGTCCTCTTTCTGTTTTTACTACAGGTCACAGTAATGAAAGGCAGTAACAGAAATAAAGATCATTCAGTAGAAGGAGAAGGGGCTGGAAAACGACCAAAACGAAAGTGTCTTCAGTGGCATCCATTGCTAGCCAAGAAACTTCTTGACTTTTCAGAGGGGGAGGAAGAGGAAGACGAAGAGGAAGATATTGATAAGGTAAATCCTTCATTTTACTGTGGAAGTTTCAAGTTAATTTGTGTACTCACAATATTCTAGAAACTACAGTGAACGTGTGTGGTATGAAATACATGTCTCTAGAAGTCTGGGGGTATAGAGGTAAGACACGATGCTCTGTGAGGCAGACCTACATGGAAGGGTTGCCCATTTGTGTGCTGAAACCTCCCCAAGTACTCTGGGCACGTGAGCATGCCCATGATCCAGGGCTGGCTGAAGTCGAGAGTGGATCTTGACATCACGACTCTAATGGGGATGCTCTCTCCCTTGCTGTCTGTCAGGGAATAAATAAACTTCAAAAAAATCAAATAACATTTTATATGACTTGAATCTGATTTAATTACTTTATTCACATTTTCAGTCCATTTATTTATTGCTCTTAAGATATCTGAGCCTCCTAATAGTTTAGATTGAAATAGATTCTTAAGTATTCTATCAGTTAACTAATGATTTACAGGTAATACTCAAGTGCATCGAGAAGGGAGAATTTATAGAACTTGATGTGCTCACTTCACACCCACCCCCTTGCTCCTCTGGCCTCTCTTTCTTTGGCAGTCTATCTCTGCCACTATAAGCACTCCAGCATGGTTCTCTTTGTCTTCATTTCTGTGGCCTATAGCAACTGGTAGCACTTGTCCCATCGAGTCTCTTTGGTCACTCTGTGGTCACTCTTGAACTCCTGTTCTCTGGCCTCACACCTGAGCGACTGGCTCTTACTTAAAGAGTCACATGATCATGCAGGTGACTTGTGAAAATAATTACTCTTCCAGGGTTTGCATATTGACTTCTCCTCACCATCATTTGGGTCTCAGTACAAGGACTGCCTCCCCAGAGAGATGGGACCTAATCATCTCCAAGTTTTCTCCCACCCAACTCATTCTAAGTCAGAGGATTTCCTTCTCAGCAATTCCTGCTATATGCCCCATGTCTGGCAGAATTTTTTTTTTTTTTTGAGAGGTTTTTCGCTATAGGGCGTGTGTGCTCGCCAGACAGAGAGAGACAGAGAGACAGAAAGCGAGAAATCACCCCCCAGGGGGGTTGGTCACGCTGCAATCCCTTCTCCTCCATTCTCCTCTCGGGATCTTGCGCACATGCACCTCGCCTGAGTTCTTAGCCACCAGATCCCAGACGTGGACCGCGGTTGACTACGTGGGAATCCAGCGACATAGCCATTACACTAACTGCTAGTTCCCTGGCAGAATTCTTGTTTACGTCTGCCTTCCCAGAGCAGAACAGAAGCCTGGTAAGAGCAGGACATGGGCTTTCTTGTCCTTTCCTGTTTCTCTAGAACAGAGACTGGAGTATGGCAAATGGAAGGTATTGAATAGAATACTGAACGGAAGAGTAAATGAGTACATATTTGTGTTGTTGCAAATTTTTTAAACATAAAAGATCTTCAGTATCCAATCAGCCCTTTTCTCTTAGCTTTGGCTGACTTTTTCTTTCACTCATCTCAGCAAGAATTATAAATATCTTGCCAGTTTCTTAGACATTGAGAATACCCTCTGTGACCTGTTCTTTGCAGGAAAATACAGGCCACCAGAAGTGGCCACCAGCTTTCTTTATACACCTATGCACTTATGCTTTCTCCTGACTCAGCGTTTCCTCCTCCCGTCCCACTTTAGAGAAATAATTTCATTTCTCCTGTTAGAGGAGACTGCCAGGTATATACTTCATTTGATTCTTTGACACATTTGTCCCTGTTGGTCACTGATCCTCGAAGCCATGTTCTGCTTCCGTGATGGCAGTCCCTCAGTGCCTGCTCCCCCTTGCCCATGGTGCTTTAGTCATTCATCTCTTTCTGTGGGTGCCTCTCCAATGTTCTTCCCTCAAATATTGATGTCCTCTGGACCTCTAATCTTAATTTCTGCTTGTATTACTGACTTTCCTCTTGAACTCTGGGCTCATGTCCGTTTATTTGATAAATCTATTAGATTCAACTAGGAATCTCAGTTTGAATGCATTCACGCATAAGCTTTTGCTTTTTTCCTCCAAATCCTTCCTGCATCTTCCCTTTCACAGTAAATGGCAGCTTCAATACTCTATAGTTTGTCAGGTTAAAAGCTCGCTTTATTTTGCTCAAGCCTCACATCCATCCATCAGCAATGCTCTCAGCTATCCCTTCAGAATACGTTTCAGTCTGCACCCTTCTTCACAGTTCCATACGACCAGCTTCCTCCGAGCCACTCCCCCTCTGTTCTTACTTTCACAGTTTATTCTCAACAAAACAGTGAGAGAGGGGTCCTTTCAGTAGAAAGCATAAGGCTGGTCATGCCACTATTCTGCTTCACAAGGGCAGGGACTTTGTGCCCATGGCACTGTGTGACCGTGGCTGTATCGGCAGCAACTAAAAGAGTGCCTGGCCCAAGGCAGGTGCCCAGTTAACGTGTACCCAATGGAGGATTAAAGTCATTGAATCCTCTTCTCTTTTTACTCCGCACTCAGTGACCCCATCTATTCCTTTAATCTTACTATCTATCTTCTTTGTTTGTTGTTTTCTTTTTCTTTCCTTTTTTTTTTTTTTAAAGAGAGATTTTTGCTGTAGGCGTGCATGCTCACCAGAGAGAAACAGAAAGTGAGAAATCACCCCCAGGGGCATGGGCTACGCTGTTTTCTCCTCTCAGGATTTTGGGCACATATGCCTACACACCTGGCGAGTTTCAAGCCACTAAGTCGGGACTTAAACCACAGTCAGCTGTTGGGAGTCCAGCGACGCAACCATTACACTATCTGCTGGTCCCACTGTCTTCTTTATACTGGTATCTCAAAGCTGACAGTACCCATAGATTTGAGTACCCCTGGAGCACTCCTCATAGCCACTTTGGATTCTGCCTCCCAACCCTGATCTATTTTCTCTTGTGCTTTGAAAAAACTTTACCATTGGGAACCAGCAGTTAGCGTAATGGCTATGTCGCTGGACTCCCACATAGTTGACCGCGGTTCGCGTCCCGGACCCAGTGGCTTAAAACTCACGCCAGGCACGTGTGCTTGCGTGCCCAAGATCCCGAGAGGAGAATGGAGGAGAAGGGATAGCTGCGTGACCATCACCCCTGGGGGGTGGTTTCTCGCTTTCTATCTCTCTGTTTCTCTGTCTGTCTGGCGAGCGCACGTGCCCTATAGCAAAAATCTCTCAAAAAAAAAACTTTACCGTTGAAACCAGAGTACCTTTTCATTTTCAGTCTTAATCCAATTAGATACTAGCCAATCTGGGTTCTATATAAATATTATCTCTGTTTTTATTTCTACATTCCTATCACTGCTGCCTGGATTTTAGCCTAACACCTTTTTTCCCTGGACAGCTGGAATAAACTTTGGTCTGGGTTCCCTAGTTTGGGTTGCTTCTAGTTTTACTATTTAATCTATGTTCTATATTGTTGATGGGAGTTACCTCTTTAAAGTACAAAGCAAACAATGTCTTTTCCCCTGCTTTCTGTAGCTGCAAGTGTTGATTTCTTATAATGGGCTCTTGGTGAAAGAAGAATCCAGAAAGAGAGATTTTCATCTTTATCTCATTATTTATCCATGTATTTACTTATTTGATTTTAGGTTAATTAATTTAATGAAATAGTTATAACATTAGATTATAGTTAAGAAATTTGGGGGTTGGGATGTGACAGATGACTTGGAGGTTAAGGCAGCTGGATCCCACATAGCCTGCCTCATGATTCAAGTCCTGGACCCGGCAGTTTGAAAAACATATTGGGTACCTGTGCATGTGTGCCCAAAATTTCCAAGAGGAGAATGGAGAAGGGATTGTAGTGTGATCATTCCCCCTGGTGGGTGATTTCTCTCTCTCTTTCTCTCTCTCTCTTTCTTTCTTTCAGTTTCTGTCCAGTGAGCACACATGTCCTATAGTGAAAACTAAAAAAAAATACTTTTTTTGATGTTATTCTTGAAAAAATAAAATTTGGACACTCATTGTCAAGACAAATGTTATTTTTTAAGTTTATTTCTTTCATGAGACACACACACACACATCGCCAACCTGGCCTTCTTGCCAAGATGTACTCGCAGTCTCAGCCAGCCAGGATCATGGGCAAGAGTGCATTCCAGTGTGTAAGGAAGGCCTCAGGACAGAACCTGTGGCCTGGCCATGCAGGCACCGCATCACAGAGCCCTGAGTCACTGCGATGTTACCAGCTGCCCCTTAAACCAAATGTTTTTCATTTGTCTGTACAATTTGAGGCTACTGATATACAAGATTAAATGCATGCTGCTTAACATGGCAGAAGAAATTATTCATGAAGTAGCTTATACATTCTTCTACAGCCTTATTTCCCAGAATCCTGTTGTCCTCTTTTTTATACCAGTGCTGTTGAATTACAAACCGATATTCAAATACACTATCAAGCCTTAATCCCTGTTTAGTCCCATATATTCCTAATGGCCATTTGACACATTCATCTTAAAAACTTTTGCTCAGACAATACCTTTTTTTTTTTAAACGTTTTTTTTTTTTTTCTATAGAGAACATGCCCTCACAGGAGAGAAGGAGAGAAAGTGAGAAATCACTCCCCCCGCCCCCCGAGGGTATGGCCACACAATACTATTCTCCTTTTGGAATTTTGGGAAAGCATGTGAATGTACCTGGCATGATTTTCAAGTCACCAGGTTCAGGACTCAAATGTGATAACCCATGTGGGCATCTAGTACCTTAATTACCATGCCACCTATTGGACCTCAGGCAATAGCTTTATAAGGAAGACTGTCTTTCTTTCATTTTTGTTGTTGTTTTAAAGGTTTTTGCCATAGGGCATGTGTGCTTACCAGAGAGAGACTATGAGAGGGAAAGTGAGAAATCTACCACCCACCCCTGGCAGGGATGGCCAAGCTGCAATCCTGTCTCTGTTCTACTCTCAGGATCCTGGGCACACATGCACATGTGTACCCTGTGTCAGTCTCAAGCTGCTGGGTCCGGGACTCGAATCGTGGTCAGCCATGTGGGAGTTCAGCGCCTCAACCACCATGCCACTCGCTTGCCCCAAGGAAGATTTCCTGTGCTTCCACCCACGAGTGCTCCATTACCTTACTGATCCTTACTGATCCTTGTTGTAGTCGGCACATGTTTTTGGTATATATGTCTTTTTCCCCTCCCAAAACAATGAGCTCTTTTTTCCAGCTTTTAACTTCTTTTTAAATTTAGTACCAGAATCAAGTTATTTCTGATGAGAAAAATATAAAATATTAAAAATGTATTATAATTTATTTTTTATTCCTAATTTTTTCTTGCCTTTTTAGTTGCAGAATGCTAAATAAATATTCCTCAAGAATTATTGTTGATGATTATGTACATTACATAGAAGATAAATCTGTAGCTTTCATTCTCCATATTTATAGCTATAACTTCAAGATTTTCTGTCCTTTTTGTGTATGTAGTGGGTTGTCGGGAAAGTCATGACATGTTTTTTTCCTATGCAAAAATGCATCATGACTTTTCTGACAACCTAATAGATAGTTGTTGGCTAGTTAATTGCGTTTGCAATAATAGACTTTTAAAAAATACCAAATTGGATTAAGCATGTGATTTTTCTTAGAGTGTCTTCCTGTGACATTTGCCCAATAAACAATGTATAAAAGAACCTATTTGCCTTATAGTTGTGGTTTTCAAAGTATGATCCTCAGACCATCACCTGGGAATTTGTTAGAAATACAAATTCTCAGAACTCACTCCAGACCCACAGAATTAGAAACTCTGGGAATGGGGCCTAGCAATCTGTTTTAATAAGACCTCCAGGGATTCCAAAGCACATTCAAATTTAACAACTACTGCTCTGTTGCATAATGTAGACTATCGACTACATGAATCCTTCTGATCTTAACTATGAAACAAGAAATTAAAGAAATGTTCTTAGTAATAAGTATCCCGGACTTACACTTACGGTTGCATTGTTTCCAAGAAACATCATGGAATCCTGCAAGGGTCTTCAAAAATTCACCAGAAGTATATGTCATGAAAAAAACTGCAAATACGTTTCAAAATTTGTTTGCACCTAAATAATCTAGTACTTCAATTTCATTTTCTATGAATTTTTAAAAGTCCACCTGTATTTTAGCCTTACAAGATATTTTATGACCCTAATGTGTTCAGAGTTTCTATGATCAGACATTGAATTAAGAATTTTAAGCGGGACCAGCAGTTGGCATAATGGCTATGTGGTTGGACTCCCATGTAGTCGACTGCGGTTCGAGTCCCAGACCCGGTGGCTTAAACTCACGCCGGGCATGTGTGCGTGCATTCCCAAGATCCCAAGAGGAGAATGGAGGAGAAAGTATTGCAGCATGGCCATCCCCACTGAGAGGGGGGTGATTTCTCACTTTCTGTCTCTCTTTACCTCTGTCTTTCTGGCAAACGCACGTGCCCTGTAGCAAAAATCTCTTCAAAAACAACAACAACAACAACAACAACAACAACAAAAGCTTTAAGCAATCAGGCTCTATATACTGGAAGTTTTGTAGAGGAAATTAAAAGCAGGAAGCCTAGCCAAGCCTGTGGCCTGGTGGTCAAGGCAACTGACTCCTACGTGGCCAACCCTGTAGTTTAAGTCTGGACCTAGTGACTGGAAAAACACACTGGGCACATGTGCATGTGTGCCCAAAATCCTGAAAGGAGAGATGTGGAGGAGAAGGGATTGCAGTATGACCACAACCTAGGGCTTACTTTCTTGTCCTCATTGTCTCTTCTTCCCCTAATGTCTCTCTGATGTGTGTACTCACCAACAAAAGAACAACAACAACAAAAAGGCAGGAAGCCTAGATCACAGGCCGAAGTGGTACTGGGGCAATGGCGATGAGAATTACAAAGATGGAATAGATAGATTCTGATTTTCATAGAAGTGCTTGAAGACTGAACAGTGATTGAAGTGCTCAGGACAGGGAAGGACTCAAAACTAATTTTGAAGGTATAAGCCTAGGGGAGTTTATTCCTGGTACCAAAATGTTTCATTTGACAAGAGATCTTCATAGTTATAAATGTAAAGATTTACTGTGTAGTTCTTTCATATAGTCATTTTAAATGTCTGTTCTGACTTTTTTTACTGTAGGAGGTCCCACTTATGCATAAAAATTTTGAATAGTCTAAATTAGCTTTTTATTACCTGCTTTTTCATGTTAAACATTGCCATATTATTAAATATAGACAAGCACTTCTCAAAGGGGAGAAGGAACTAATATTTGTGTAGTTTGTGTGGATGTTATTGTTAATCTTGAGGTCCTTAGCACTGAATGGGTTTATCCACTTCCTGAACAATTGCTCAAGTATTAATGCTATACCAGACATTGAACTAGGTGCTGTAGTGTAAAGGTAAATAAGAAGGCTTTTGTCCTCAAAGAGCTCACTGTTTAGTGAAAGAGAAGAAGATGGAAGCAGTTATAACACAATGTAATATATGCTGTAATAGAGACATGCATATGTTGCCATAGAGTGCCCAAAATCCTGAAAGGAGAGATGTGGAGGAGAAGGGATTGCAGTATGACCACAACCTAGGGCTTACTTTCTTGTCCTCATTGTCTCTTCTTCCCCTAATGTCTCTCTGATGTGTGTACTCACCAACAAAAGAACAACAACAACAAAAAGGCAGGAAGCCTAGATCACAGGCCGAAGTGGTACTGGGGCAATGGCGATGAGAATTACAAAGATGGAATAGATAGATTCTGATTTTCATAGAAGTGCTTGAAGACTGAACAGTGATTGAAGTGCTCAGGACAGGGAAGGACTCAAAACTAATTTTGAAGGTATAAGCCTAGGGGAGTTTATTCCTGGTACCAAAATGTTTCATTTGACAAGAGATCTTCATAGTTATAAATGTAAAGATTTACTGTGTAGTTCTTTCATATAGTCATTTTAAATGTCTGTTCTGACTTTTTTTACTGTAGGAGGTCCCACTTATGCATAAAAATTTTGAATAGTCTAAATTAGCTTTTTATTACCTGCTTTTTCATGTTAAACATTGCCATATTATTAAATATAGACAAGCACTTCTCAAAGGGGAGAAGGAACTAATATTTGTGTAGTTTGTGTGGATGTTATTGTTAATCTTGAGGTCCTTAGCACTGAATGGGTTTATCCACTTCCTGAACAATTGCTCAAGTATTAATGCTATACCAGACATTGAACTAGGTGCTGTAGTGTAAAGGTAAATAAGAAGGCTTTTGTCCTCAAAGAGCTCACTGTTTAGTGAAAGAGAAGAAGATGGAAGCAGTTATAACACAATGTAATATATGCTGTAATAGAGACATGCATATGTTGCCATAGAAACCAAGCAGAAAGATACATCATGAGTTAGTTACCAACCACTAGTAGTGGTTGATGATTTTAAAATATCTTTTTTTTTCAATTTGTAAGTTGTTTCAATGGATCTAAGAAAAAAATACATTGTACTAAACCAATACTAATTGCTAAATTGTCTCAGATGTGTTAAATATCTGGCTTTTGTTTTGATTGGTCGAAGGTTCAACTTCTTGGGGCCGATGGCCTAGAGCAAGATGTTGGTGAGACTGAAGATGATGAATCACCAGAACAGCGAGCTCGGAGACCAATGAATGCATTTCTTCTATTTTGCAAACGCCATCGCTCCCTTGTACGTCAAGAACACCCCAGGCTTGACAACCGAGGTGCTACCAAGATATTAGCTGATTGGTGGGCTGTTCTCGACCCAAAGGAAAAGCAGAAGTACACAGACATGGCTAAGGAGGTAGGTTACAATGACAAGGTGTTACCTGTCTGTGAGCGGCCAGTCCCCAAACAACTATTCATCAAATATGGAGTACCCATTGAAGGTCTAGCATTAGAACGTGGATCCTAAATCAGCTGTTAAATGAAAATATAGAGCCCTCTTTGTTCCTCCTCTTGTGTTCCAAGTCCACCTTGCAAATGTTGGCAAAGGTGCCAAGAACATTAATTATCAAGAAGTTTTTCTCATTGTCTATACGTTACGGCTGATTAATAGAAGGAATTGATTTATTATGAAGAATTTAGTGAAATTTAATTGAATAAATTTTTATTTTATTTTTAAAAAAATTTTAAGAAGATTTTGCCTTCACAAAACTTCTCACTGGAGAGAGATAGAAAGAGACAGAGACAGTGAGAAGGACGAGAGGAAAAATAATAAATCAACCCCCAGGAGGAATAGCCATGCTGCAATCCCTTCTCCATTCTCCTTCTGGCATCTTGGGCCGACATGCACACATGCCCAGCATTATTTTTAAGCCACTGGGTCCTGGACTCAAACTGCAGTCAGCCATGTGGGGGTCTAGTCTCATAACTGCTGTGCCCTCTGCTGGCCCCTAAGTGAACAAATCTTAATCTGATTCAGATTGGGCATTTTCCTGGACTGACTGCTGAGCAACTCCAGGTAACCTCGTGGTCACTCTGTATTTTAAGTTCTGGAAAGGGAAAGTGATGTAAAAAAATGAAAGTGAAGGAATGAGGTAGAAAAACAATTTGGATTAGTTACATTCTGAAGTTTGTTTGTGTTAGCACAGTTCACAAGGCGGAATGCTTGTGATTGACTGAAATTTAGCTGCTGTGATTGGCTGTAACCTGGCAACCCACTAAAAAAGCAGCCTTATCTAAATGAGGTCGCAGTTTCTTTACAGAAACCAAGCAGGAGTCAGGAGTAAGAGACTTTTCCATGTTCTTTAACATTATTATTAGTGATTTTTTTTTTTTTTTTCTTTGAAGTTCTTCAAGAATTCGGCTTCTGCTGTCAGCGAATGCTCATGGTAATAATGATGAGTATCTTAGGCTAATGTAGTTGTATCATGGGAAAGAGGAGGCTCACATTCTTTCTTTGGTTTTTAAATTTTATTAGAATGAGAAAGTTTGGACAAAACATGTCCAACCCTTCCAGCTCTAACATGTTTAGATTTTGTAATGAACACAATTATCAAGAGTAAGGCTTTAATTTGTTCTGTGCTGTAGGTAGTCCAGCATGAATATTTAAAACCAATAAATGAATGAACGATAGTGGGACAGGATGTACTGTGATGTGTGTATGAATGTAAACATCGGAGAGGCAGTAGTTAGTGAGAACAATTTCCATGAAGGAAGTCTCTTCAGAGAGCTGGGACTGTAATCAATTCCAGAGTGATAGCAGTTAGTAAACTTCTTCAAAAGTGTATACTCTTTCTAAATTAATCTGGAATTCGTGTGAGATCTTTGTACATTTAAAGGTATTGTGAAAGAATTTAGTAAAGGATAAGTAAAGCGATGCCTTCGTGGTTACACTCGAACAACTCCAACATTATTTTTTCAGTGTTGTAATTTGTAATACAAACTTCTTGATTCATGAAAACCCCTACCACCCAAACTGGTTAAGTTTTGTGAAAAAAATAAACCTTCCGAGGATAAAATACAGAGTTTAGAAAAATAACACTTCCAATTGCTATGGTTTTATTGAGTCAATTAATCACCTAACATATACCATAAAAATTTCCTATGAAATGTTTAGGGAAATTTGAATCCATAGTAAATGATTAGCAAAGTTGTATGTAATTAATGATCACATGAGACTTCAGGAATTGACTATTGTTAAAGATGGAATTTTAACTGTGTATGGCTTCTGGAAAATTTAAGATCAATTGCAGTGACCTATACGGTTTCAAATGTTCCAATAGATTTCCACAGCATAACAGTAATTAACACTAAAACTTTACCATTAAAAAACCTTAAACCTTTTTATAGTTAATGCCTATATGGTAAAATAAACAGTTATCTAAAACCTCAGCGGCAACTGCATAAGCTTCCTATAATTAAACACTAAAGTTTGTTTTTGGATTGCTGTTTTTGGATAGCAAGCAGCCTGCCCCTAGTATATTGTTTGCCTTTTTTTAAATACTGCTAATTTACAAACCCAATAGGTGGCCACTCTAAAAGGAGGAAGTATTATTTTCATACAGGAAATCCCTTGCTAATTACTTAATTAGGTTCACAATATTTGCCATTGTGGTGCTATAATGAAATCTGTGAAGGTGGCCTCCTGCGATCTACTAATAAAAGTTGAGACCATAACTGGATGTTCCATGTTGTGACTTGCCTTATATAGTTCTTAGGAAATGCTGCCTCGTTTCTACTGCAATTTCTCTAGTCATAAGTGATTCTTATTTATTTCAGCTTATTTACTGAGTAGTTCCAAAATTGCATTAAATTGTATGTAATTGTTCTGGTGCTTCTTGTGCTACTATTGCAGCCTTAATTTGAAATGTCAGTTCAATCAACAAATCCGTATTAAGTGACTTCAGAGTACCAGGTTTTGTGGAGCTGTTAGTGATACAAGATCAATGATAAATATGGTCTCTGTTTTCAGGCCCCCCCCAACCCTATCCCCATTGCTTTTTTTTTTTGGAGAGGTTTTTGCTATAGGGTGTGTGCGCTCGCCAGACAGACAGAGAGAGACAGAGACAGAAAGCGAGAAATCACCCCCCAGAGGGGATGGCCATGCCACAATCCCTTCTCCTCCATTCTCTTCTTGGGATCTTGGGCACGCATGCACACGCACCTTACGTAAGTTTAAGCCACTGGGTCTGGGACTCAAACCACCGTCAACTACATGGGAGTCCAGCGACATAGCCATTACGCTAACTGCTGGTTCCCTAGAATCCAGCTTCTTTAACCACTACAATTCCAGTTAGCTCAACTTTTGTTTTGTTTTGTTTTCATTGTCTGAAAGCATGTGCCTCACCAGAGAGAGGGAAAAGGCAACCTGGAAAGGGACAAGTTCACACCACAATCACTTCTCCCCCATTTTTGTATCCCATTGGGATTGAGGCATACAGATAAAATGCCCGGGGCATTCCGCAGACCGAGGCCAAGATTCAAAACATAGTCATCCATGTGGGATCTGGCCTCGTTAACTGCGGGGCTACAAAATGGGCTGGAAAAAGCTTCATTTTTAAGTTTTATGTATTTTAGTCCAGCAGGTAGCATAGCGCTTAAAAGCACTAGAATCCTACATGGTCGACTGTGGTTTGAGTCCCAGACCCAGTTGCTTGAAACTCATGCTGGGTGCTTGTGCATTCATGCCCAAAATGCTGATAGGAGAATGGAAGAAAAGAGGTGTGGCATGGCTGTCTTCCCTGGGGGCTGAGTTCTCACTTTCTCTTTGTCTCTCTGATCCTATAGTATGCACCCTATAACGAAAATCTGTATAAAATTGTATGTATTTATTCTGGATACTTTATTTAAAATTTTGTTTGTGTCCTTCCTGAATGTATTCAGATCAGTTTTTGACTATTTAAACTTCTACTCATTATTTACCAATAGGAATTATTTTATAATCTGTGATTTAGTGAGACTTTTTGAATAAAAGAGTTGCATTTAAATTTTTATTTGTATAGTACACAATTCTTAACTATTTTGTTCTTTTAAATGTCTTTCAAATGTCTTCCTTTTGGTTTTCCATTAGTTTTTCTACCCTTGATTATCAGTTAACATTTCTCTTTTTGTCATATCTCTTCCAGCTACCTCTAATCAGGTGACTTATCACTTTATGTGGGCTTTTTTATATTGGGTCATTGGAAATGTCATGACATATTTTTTCTTATGTTTTTCTTTTTCTTTCTTCCTTCTTTTTTTTAAACAGGAAGTGATTTTTTGCTATAGGGCTCTTGTGCTTGCTGGAAAGAGAGAGAGACAGAAAGTGAGAAATCACCTCCCAGGGGCAATGGCCACACTGCAGTATCTTCTCCATACCCCTCTTGTGATTTTGGGCATGAATGCACACACACCCAGAGTGAGTTTTAAGCTACTGGATTCAGGACTCGAATTGTGGCCGACCATGTAGGAGACCAGCACCTTTACCACTATGCCACCTGCTGGCCCAATCTGTTTTTCTATGTAAAAATGCATCACGACTTTTCTAATGATCCAATAGCTTGATCAGAGGCTCTACCATTGGAAGACATGGGTAGTAAATCCAAAAATTTAGGCTCTGTATTTCACACTATTTCTTGTTTCTGTGACCTTGTCATTCTCATGTTGTAGATACCAGGATTTTTAAAATACTCAGTTATTTATTTTTGAAATGATAGTAAATGTTCGAATGCTGCTTCTTTATGTTCAGAGTTCTCCAAACATTTAACTGAGATAACCCCAGATTAAATAAATCATTTGTCCCACTTGGCAGATACTGTCTAATGTGATTAATAGCCTCTAACAAGATAGATGTTCAGTTACGTGAACTATTTGATTTAGAAATATTAATCCACTTGCTAATTTTTAAACATGAGTATTGAAATATTCAAACCAAGTAAAATTATAAAGACTTCAAAAAGATCCCCTAGCTACTGAGTGATAAATTGAGAATTTAAACTTAGCCTTCGAAAATTCATCTTGGTATTTGGGTTCAGATTTTTTTTTTAATTTTATTTTTTGGTTCTTGTCATATGGTGCATACGCTTACTATGGAGAGACATAAGGTGAAAGAGAGAGGGAAAGTGGTGGGTGGGGGGAAGACCACATAGCAGTCCCTTCTCTTTCATTCTCCTGTTGAGATTTGGGGATTTTGGTGTGATTTTTCAAGCCACTGGGTCTGGGACTCGAACCACGGCTGACTGTGTGGGAGTCCAGTGCCTTAACCACTACGCTACCTGCTGGCCCTCAGAAGTTAATTTTTAGACTGATACTCAAATACTGTGTAAGAGTAATAAGTCACAATTACTTTGAAATTTGTATTAGTCAAAGAAATGTGAGTAA